CCCCCCCCTGGGCCGGGCGCCGAGATTTCTGGGCTCCGGCCCGCCGACCCCCCCTCCCTGCCCTGGGCCTGGAGGCTGGGCCGTCAGGATGTACAGTATTAACACTTTTTTGGAAGTTGGACGCTTCTAGTTTCCTTATTTTGTATAAAGAAGAAACAAATAAAGTATGTTTTTGTGTTTACTGTTTATTTATTGTACTCTAGTTAACTGGGGCTGGACATTTTTATATTTTTAAGAGGAGGGTGGGCAGAGTGGGGGAGGGGAAGCGGAAAGGTTTACCTAAAAAAAAACCTAAAAAAAAAAAGCACAAAAAAAACAACACACAAACAGAATCAACTTTTCTAAAAAGAAAGATTAATAAAAAAAAAAATTCTTTTTTGCCCTCAGTGCTGTGTGGTTTCTTTTTTCGTCTGTCTTCATAGTCGTTCAGAATGAAAGGGACAATTTTCTCTGGTTCTTGTTTCTGGCATAAAAGCAGACTCGATGGGTGCAGAGACCTCTCCTGGTCGAAGTGAGTTCTTTTGGGAGCTATCAGGTAAGGAAGGGGGCTGCTTTTTTTTGTTGTTGTTTGGCAGCTCCTGTGCTGCGGGAACAGCATCTCCCCGCGCTTCCTACAGCACCCGGCTCCCACATGCCCGCCGGGCACCCAGCAAACCTTCAAAATATTTGATGTGTGATTTGTTTGTCCCCAGCGTGTCCCACAGAGTCTAGCTCCCTCCTAATTATGCCCCATGCAATTCCAGGTGCTACAAAAACAAACAAACAGAATCCCCCCGGGCTGGGGAGCGGACGCCTGCCGCCTGCGGGCCTGTGTCAGGAGCGTGGAGCCCGGGAGCCAGGCCTCGGCTGCCGTGTGGTGCGTGTGTGGCCTTCATGGCCGAAGGCTTAGGAGGCCTGAGGCCGCTGCCTAAAGACAGGCCCCTCCCTCTTTGCCTCAGTTTCCCTACTTACAGAAGGGATTGGAAAGAGCGCTCCCTACGTTCCCTTCTGGCTCGGACACTGCAGATGGAGATAAAAATAAATGGAAGAGGGTCCTGCCCTTGGATCCTCTGCGCCCAGGCTTGGGGTGCAGGGGTCTTGCCCATTTTAGCGGCAGCAGGAAAGGAAGGGGGTAGGAGATGGGGACGCGTGGGCCCCCAGGGGGTGCACACAGGCGGAGAGCCCTGCTCCTCTGTTTTCTCTTCTGTGGGCTTCTGGAGAACAGTGCGGGGCGGCCTGGCTTTATCTTTCCTCTCCTTGTGCCTTTGTCTTTGTCTGACAAATGCAACTTGCTTATTGAAGGAAATTTAGAAATTCCAGGTAAACAAAAGAGAGAAAATGGAAGCACCCCGAATCTCGGGCTCTGTGGTAATGTAGCTGATGTATTTCCTTTCCAGACTCTCTCTCTCTTTCATTTTAGAACAAGAGATCATCCACATATACACACAGAGCCTGCGAATCCCACGACTTCAGTGTGAAAGAAACGGAGGGGACAGAAGACCACTCTCGTGCCAGGGGACACTTGAATGACCCTGGGGGGGAGGGGGGTCTTCCAGTCTCAGAGGGTGGCCCCAGAAACCAGGTTTCCAGAGGGTTGCTCATCTCTGGGGTCATGAGCCACACGTGGGGCTCACTCCCCATGGGCCGTCCTCTGAGCGCTCACCAGTGAGAAGAGCTGGGAGCAGAGGTCACCTGGGAGGGGGAGGGGAAGAGGCCAGGGCAGGGTCGTGGTGTCCAGGAGACCACCTGCCTGGTCACTCCATCACCCTTCTGAGCCTTGGTTTGCTCCTCTGCGAAATGGGCTCACAGTGACCTCTCGGCCACATCGAAGCGATATAAATTTAACCTGTGGCCAAGGTTCAGGAAATCTAGGTCCCGGGTTCAGTCCCCACCCCCACCCTCACTCTCTCTCACACACACCCCTACACACACTCTCTGGAATCGCTCTCTGGGGTGGTACCAGGAGGTTTCTCATTTGTCAAGCTCCCCAGTTCATCCCCATGCCTCGGAACGTGCAGGACCACGGCTCGGGCAGCCCGGCTGGGAGTCCGGTTCAGCCCTCGCAGCGCCCCTGCAGGATGAGTGTGGTAAGGCCCCATTTTGCAGACGCGGAGACTGAGGCCCAAGAAGCGAAGTGAGCTGCCTGGGGTCGCAGAGCTGGGGAGAAGCAGGGCCAGGTTTTCAATCAAGAACCTCTGCTTCCAGGCCCCACGTTGTCCCTGGGCCCAGGACAGAGCCCATCACTGGTAAAGCCTCACTCTGTCTAGTAACGACCCAGGTGGACGGATGAGTGAATGAATGAATGAATGGATGAATGGATGAATGAATGAATGAAACGAATGCCCTCCAGCCTCTGTAAAAAGAGATTGTTTAAGAAAGGGTCCGATGAGTGCCAGTTCCTCCTGCCAGCAATCTCCCTGGGTTTTGTTCAAACGCCTTCCCGGGTTAAACAAAGCTGCCCAGAGGGGCCAAGAGCCTAAGAAAACCGCCAAGGTCAAGAGGCACAACGGCTTCCTCTTCCCCGAGCCCGCCCCTGTTTCTTTCTCTCCCCCCACTTCCCTGTCCATTAATGTATCCGTTCATCTCGTTCTATCTCCCCATCGCCTGTATTTATTATCATTTCAAAATAAACGAATTCTGAGAGGAAAGAAAAATACTTCGAAGCCTGCAGGTGAGGGGGCCAGCCAGCCCCCTTCGTACCCTCCCGCCCTGGGGGAGAGGGAAGGTGTCCCCCCCCCTGCCTCTGGGCTGTAATTCCCGACGGCACTGCGCATTCACACCCGTGTGCCTGGCCCCATCCTGCACTCTGTCCCCGGCCCCCATCCCTGTCCCCCTGTCCCAAAATAAACGCCCCGCGGAGCGTGAGAGCCGACCCACTGTGCTTAGGACTAATATTTAAAATGCAGAATGGCTGTGGAGGGGCCCTGCTCCCGAGCCTCGCCGTGCAGTAAAAAGATATAAACAGAATAAATTACCTCTCCAGCGCGGATTATGAGAGGACCCATCTCCTGACCGGAATTTTAAGTCCTGCCTCCCTGGTCGCGCTGCGCGCGGCTGATTTATGGGAGCCCGAGCCCTTCTCTGCATATTTCTCCTGTTCAGCCGAGTGACCGAGTTTACCCTTCCTCTGCCATTAGCGTTATTAACACCTGGGCAACCGATCATTGCAAATGGGCCATTTCTGTGATGAACGGGAACCTCTCCACCGCCTCTCCCAGGCCGGCCCCCTCTTTCTGCATTTTGTGCTGGGGCTCAGGGACCACCACCCCCTGCTTCCCCCCAGCACCTGCCCATGGGCTCCTGGGAGCCTTGGGAGGAAACCCCTCACCCCAGCAGGTGCCCCTGGCTTTGTGGCATGCACACAGAGAATGACGACTCTGCTCCTATTTTTTTATTCTCCAGAGACTGTTCCAGAGGTAAGGCAATGCCCCCATTGATCTGGGAAAGAAACCGAGGCTCGGGGAGGGCCAGAGACTGGCCTGAGAGGTCACAGAGGGTTTACGGAGGTGTTGGGATCAGAATTCACATCTTCTAGCCCCTCGACACTCAAGGTGTGGCCGGCGGACCAACAGCAGCAGCAGCGGGAAGCTGGGTGGAAATGCAGACGCTCAGGCCTCGCCCAGGACATCAGAGCCAGAATGCGCTTGGTCCCCAGGGGGTGGGGTGCACGTTTGGTTTTTGAAGCTTTGGTTTAAAAACAGACCCAGGTTCTCAACCATCCCTTTAGTATTATCATTGTTATTATTGATTTGAGAGAGAGAAACATTGATTTGTCGCTCCACTTGTTCACGTATCGCTGGCTGAGTCTTGCGTGCGCCCTGACTGGGGATCGAACTCGCAACTTTGGAGTATCGGGCAGATCTCTAACCAACTGAGCCACCGGCCAGGCCTCAACTACCCCTTTTCTCCATGAAGGAAAACCTTATAGTGCAAATTCTCCTCTCAGCAGCCGCAGGGACCCCAAGTCCACGGTCAAACCACGTGAGGATAAGGCAGCCGGCCGAGCTCACGATGCCCGCCGGGCACCTGCCCCGCTCAGCCCGCTCCCTCTTTCATCCCAGCTGTGAGCAGCTGGAGACCAGGGGCGGTGTGACCCCACGCTGGGCACGCAACCTCTCTGAGCTTCGGCTCTGCCGTCTGTAAAAAGGGCACAATAGTATCTAACAGCCAGGGTCCCTGCAAGGGTTAAATACGGCCACATAGGCCATAGTCTAGGAGCAGTGCCTGGCATGGAGCAGGCTGCTGAGCAACCAACACTAAATGAACTAACAATAATATAGCAGCGAGCCCTGGCCGGTGTGGCTCGGCGGTTAGAGCGCCTGCCCGCGCACCAAGGGGTCGAGGGGTCAATTCCCAGTCAAGGGCATACACAGGGGTTGCAGGTTCGATCCCCAGGAGGGGGCATGCAGGAGGCAGCCAAGCGAGGCTCCTCTCTGTCCCTCCCTCCCTCTCCTTTCCTCTCTCTCTCTCAAATCAATAAAAACATGTTTGGGGGGGAAAGAAAGAAAAAATATCCTCAGGTGATTATTTTAGGAAGAGCCTCTGTCTGGTGCTAGCGAGTCTTAAATGCGCCTCTAAGAAACTGCAGGTGAAACGCGGGGCCTGCTGCCGGCCCAGGGAAGCTGGTGACAATGTAGCGACGTTCATTCTGCCTGGTGCTGTTATTGCAACACTTACTATCTAATTCTGGGAAGCGATACTGTTTCTCCATTTAGAGGGTGATAACATTTTCTTTCTAAAAAGCAGTTAAGGCTTCAAGAAACATATGAATTAGCCTGGCCTCAAGTGGCTCTGTCGGTTGAGCAACATCCTGTTTGATTCCCAGTCAGGGGCTCATGCCTGGGTTTTGGGTTCGAACCCCAGTCGGGGCATGTAGGAAAGCAACTGATCACTGTTTCTCTCTCCCATCGATGTTTCTCTCATGAGGATTTGAAAAAATAACAAACCTATGAATTAGGTAACAGTAAAGATAGTTCATGGATTGGTGCAGGATGGATCTGGCACAACCCGAGGTGGCAATGAGTTTGGGACCGTCTTTGCTGTGGCTGTGCTGTGTGACTGTGACTAGGTTACTGACCCTCTCTGGGCCCCAGCCAAAGCCTGAATAAGGAGAAGTTGCTGACTGCTGAGATCTGATCCCAAAAGCTGGGCAGGAACCAGATGATATAGGGCCCTGTAGGCCAAGGTGATGGGTGTTTTTGATCCTAAATCAGGGTGGGGACGGGGAGGGGGCAGCCTCAAGACTGGCAGCCAGACGACCAGTGGGGAGGCCGCTAGCCACCCAGGCAAGGGACGTGCCTGGCTGGTGTCCTCTGCTTGCTATTGTCTTCTCCCTGGAGGCCTTCAAGGACTGCCGTCAGCCCTCACTTTGCAGGAGAGGAAACCGAGGCTCAGAGAAGTTAATTCACCTGCCCGGTTTCCCAGCTGGAAAGAATCAGAGGTGGGGATTGACTCAGGTATTTAAACACCCAGCCCGGCCCACTTCCTGCCCGCCCATCTCAGGAGAAAGAGCTTAGGTCCAGTAACTGCAGGCCAGCCTCAGTTTTCCTCGTCTATAATATGGGACGAATTGTAGCCCCTACTTCCTCGGGTCCAGGAGGCAAGGAAATTAAATCCCTCACGCACTTTTACCTTAAAAGGAAGGGGAAAAGGCCCTTTCCCACCCACTTCTCTCTCTGCTGGTTCTCCCCAAAAGGAGGGACTTGGGTATTTCTTCTTCAAACATTTATTTTTCATGGGTTTTTTTGGGTGGAAGGGGCGGGTTGGTGACGGTAATCAGTTTGGGGACTTAAGATAAAAAATCGCAGCAAAGGGTCGACTTGACTTTTTGTAATTAATGGGGCGGCTGGTAATAGGATCTTCCTGCCGGTGGTGCTCCCGGGAAACGCCTTTTTACATAAGATATTGCCCACACCGGGGTGGCAGCGGGTGATTTATGGGGTTCCGTGCTCCAGAAAGCCTCTCCTGGGGTTGCCCAGCCGGTGGAATTTATCAGGGAGTTTGGAAGGGAGGCGAGAAACCTGCCCGTGACATTTTTGGTGGAGTTTAAACAGCACAAACACTGGGGCAGAGAGAGGCCGGTGGGACGGAGAGGGGGACAGGGGGAGAGGGTCCAGTCAGGTTGGCTTTTCCGCCAGCAGAGCCTGAGCTGGGGGTTCTTGGCTGGTGACTTCTTAAGGGAGGGCCCAGAGCAGAGGGGGGCAGAGGGGGGTCAGGTGGAGTCTGGCCCCAGCCTGATCCCGGGAGGGGCTCTGGACTTGGGCTGGCTCCACAGAACTGCCTTGAGGGTGCAACGGAGCCTGCCTTTTCTATTCCTTATGGTCAGTCACTGGCTGCGGGCCACCGCTCGTGGGGGGGGCGGATTGGGGGTGGGGAGGGATAGCCTCCCAGGCATCTCTGGATCCTCTGGCCCTGGAGAGAGGCACCGGTGCAGATGGAAAGCTGGGGGTATCTCAAGCACATACACGCACCTGGCGGCCCTGGACTAACTCCAAGAAGTCCTGCTCCCAGGACCCCCGGGAGGGTCTCCGTTTTCCCACTGAGCATCGGGAGGGCAGAGTCTCTGCAGCTCACCTCCCTACATCAGCCGGAGCGTCCCTGGCCTCAGCTCCCATCGCCTGCTTCCTTGCTCCCTCCCCGTGCCCCGCCCCCTCGGCGTTCCCCAGGTGTCAGCCAGGGAGGGCTAAACCCAGGGAGCCCACACGTGTTATCTGGACGGAGTCAACAGGCCCCTCAGCCTCTTATCTCCAGCCTGCCAAGACCGAGAGAGGGGCAAACCGCAGCTGACAAGTCTCCCAGGGGTGCAGCCGAGGGCGGAGGCCGGCCTGGGAGACGGAGCACCTGGGTGGAGGGGAGCTCCAGCGCGGGGTGGGGGGTTTGTAGCTGGCTGGAGCAATCCCCAAAGGCTTCAGGGAGGAGGCTGCCCTACACTGGGCTTTGAAGGGTATGTAGGATTTAGAAGCAGGCAGGGCATAGCAAGGGTGCCTCAGTGGGACCAGGGGGTTGATGCTGCCAGGGGCTGTGGCGCCAACTGGACCCCACACTCTCTGAACGTGTTTCCTGCAGGGCGAGGGAGGGTTGGGTAGAGCTCCCCATGTAAGACCTTCAGCCTCAGCCCTCTCTGGGGCCTCAGCACCCTCCAGTTGGAGGGAAGAGTCAGAAGACCAGAGAGTCCGGGCGGCCTCCCCTGTCCCGGGCCAGGTTTCCCCATCGGAGGCACTTTGCTGCCCCCTGGTGGCTCCAATATGCTAATTTCCCTCCCGTTTCCTTAGAGACCGTTCCCAGGAGTGGGAGGCGCCAGATGCCAGGACCAGTCCCCATCCTCCTTGTGGCCCACAGGAGTGTCCAGACTGACCTGGACGTCCCACCTCCTTCCTCAATGTCCCTCCACCACCAACCCCCACACAGAGAAGGCCGAGGCCCGAGAAACACAGTCATATTGAAAATCACTGGGTTTGGACGCAACTGGGCCCAATTCCTGTTGCGCGAACAGACCCACCAGAGTTATAAACTCAACTCAGAAAGCGTTTATTGGCCGGGGCTGCGGGGGGAGCTGAAGGAAGCGGTTCGGGAGGGCTTCCTGCAGGAGGCGGCCAGCACAGAAGCACAGGGCAGCTTCCGCTGCCATCCATGAGCACAGAGGCTCCTCGGGCAGCTACAGGAGCATCTGTGAGCCTCTTGGGGGTCTCTGGGGTGCAGCCGGCCCTCCCAGACCGGGAGCTCTCAGCCCAGGCCCAGCTGGGCTTTCAGAGCCTGCAGCTCCTGGCTGCTGATGCTGTTTCCTCCGCACACAATGACCACCACGGAGGCCAGGGAGGGGCCCAGGCGGCCCTCAGCCTGGAGCCGCCCCAGGAGGCCCGAGTAGACGGCAGCTAAGGCTGCCCCGCAGGCAGGCTCCACCAGCATGCGTTCGTCATCTGCCCAGAGCAGGGGGTGGGGGTGCGGGTGGAGGAGGAAAGGGGGGGAACCAGTCAGTGCTCAGCAGGCTCTGGACCTCGAAAGTCCATGAAGCCAGCCAGCCAGCCAGCCACCTCAGTCTATCTGTCTGACTCCCTCTCGGTCCATCAATCTCTCCGCCCATCCACCTTTCATCTCTCTACCCATCCATCTAGTCCTCCATCCATCATTAGACTGTCTGTCTGTCCATCTATTAGTGTAGCCATCAATCACCATATCCATCGATCGATCCATCCATCCTTTCATCCACTATCCATCACTTGACTGTCTGTCTGTCCATCCATCAACGTGCCCATTAATCAGCGTCCAGCCGTCCATTCACGTCTATGTCATTCATCAGCTCCCCCCATCAATCCATTTGCTCACCCACCTGTCCATTACCCACCCCTCCGCTCCCACATCCATCCATTCATCCCACACACGCCCACCCCCTGCTCGGCCCTGTCCTCGGAAGGCCCTGGGGACACATCAGCGAACAAGACACACCAGCCCCTGCCCTCGACGAGTTCACAGTCTAGTGACGTAAGACGGGTAAGAATCAGGCAGTTATGAGATTAGTGGGCTTGGTGCAAGGCAGTCTCCAGCCCGGGCGGGGTGGGGATGAGAGATCGAAGGAGGCTTCCTGGAGGAGGTGCCACGATGGCCGAGTCGCCCTTGGTCTCATGAAACTGACAGGGAGCAGGGCCAGGGATGGGCAGCTCGAGGAAAGAGCATCTACAAAAGGCTGGAGGCCGGACACAGCGCAAGCCGCCCCTTCTCCATCCCCAGCCCTTCCATCTGCTCAGGGCGCCCTTGTTGTGAGGCTACTGCAGACCCGGCCCTGGGACAGGCGCTGAAGACACAGGCGAGACCATGCTCTCGCCAGGGGATCCCTGAGGGTGCCTGAGCCCAGGTGGGGGACAGAGCTCGCTCACCGAGGAACCGCTGCACGGCCTTCACTGCCTCGCTGTCTTCCACCACCGCAGACAGGACCTTGAACTCCTGCGTGCACTCCAGGGCCCTCGCAGCCACTGTCTTGGCACCCAGGCACTTGGCCACGCTGTAGGAGGGGCGGGGGGGCAGGGAAGAGCTGGTGAATCCGGC